AAACTGACTAAGTAGAAAACAAATTTGGGTTCATAAAGAACACATTTTAGAAGTGTCAATAACACTTGTCCTATTTTACTGATTGGTAATTTGCCCTTTGTTGTATGCAAAAGTGAAAATCCATGAACTTCTGCTATTTGCCTATATACACTGAAAAAAAGAATTTTTTAGAGTGCTCATTTCAGCATGGAACCATCTGGAAGAGTCCTGAGACTCATCAGTGGGTTTCACACTTAGAGGAACACTGATCTAAAACCAACATCAGAGCTAGAACAGTGTGTCTGCAGTGAACAAGAGACATACACTTAGGGAGCTATTTCCAAGAAGAACTGTGTGCGGACACCGTAAGAGACAGTAAGAGATATGCCATCCTTGCTGCGTGGTAGCCACCTGGTCCTACAGGGGATTTCTCAGCCAGGTTTCTGAAACACGATGGGAAGGAGGAGGAGGGACAGGGTCTCCCTGCCTGAAAGTCTCTGAGAACAGTCAGCCAAGACTCACAGGAGCTTTGACCACTGACTTGGCTGAGGAGGGAAGACAAGGCCAGATCATCCTGACCAGCCTTTCCTGGATCTGTAGCTGCATGGTTGACCGTGTGTGGCCTTCAGTGCCCCTTCACCTTCCTATCCTCCTCCACAAATACCTGCCTCAAACAAGACTTGCTCTGCCTGCAGGCCAGTGTGTCTGGAACCTGGCTTTGAAAGTGCTGAAGAGAACAGCCCAGATGGTGGTAGTCGTGAGTCCCCTGGCTATTTAAAAACGGCAGTGGTTAAGGGCTTGGATCCTAAGGGCAAAACAGACTCATGTTCAGTCCTAGCTCTGCCACAAACTACATGCTTTTCCCAAGCCTCTGTTTCCTTGTCTGTAAACTGAGGCACAAATCGAAGACTAACAACTGACATAATGCAAGGAAAATGCTTAGTTCACAACCAGCAACGCAGTTTAGTGCAATAAGCCACAGCTCGTGTTGTTGTTATTGGCGAGTGATCTCCCGGTGCTCTACACTCAGGCCACCTCTTCTGTAAAAGTCCCTGAACTACCAAGTCAGATGCCCTCCCCATTACCAAGATCCCCTTTTTGAACTTCCCCCATTCCAGCACCCAACCCTGCGCTTTTCTCTACTGTTACACAAACGTCTCACGCATATGCCTCTTACTGTCCCTGCGCAAACCAGCTCTCCAGCTCCTTGAAGGCCTGGCTGGTGCCCTGTATGCTACTTAGACTCTGCATTGCAGGGTCCTCACCCCATGTAAGTCAGGTTCAAATGGTTTATATACGTTGTATGCAATAAATAAATGCATGCATGGATGAGGTGAACACAGGTAGTATTTTTAGTTCTACACACCTTTGGTATTTATGATACAGGGAGACACGACAAGACTGAGGTCTTTATTCCCAACACCGTGAGTGAACGTGCACAGCCTTAGGCCGGGGGGGGGGGTGTCTACAAAATGCAGCACTGCCACCTGCCACCTTCCCAGGACTTAGTGAGCCAGACTAGGTTTTAAAAAAGCAACAGTAAGACACAACCCGCTCCCTGATGGTCAGCTGAAAGGAGCATCTGGGTTTCAATGGCAACAAACGGGTCTCATTCTCTCCTAGCATTTCCCAGCTCCTATTCCACAAAACAAGGAAAATAAAATAGGCCTTGGCCCTTTTAAATATTATTTCCAAAGACGGAGATGCCAGTATTTCCCCTAGTAACTCATTTCAGTGCCAGGAACTCTCTCAAAGGGCCAGTCCAAGTTCCTCTTCTCACTCTCCTTTGTTCACTGACCAGTGAGGCGGACACAGCTCTGGTCACCACGCACAACCATCATCTTTATTCTTGAAAATCTTTATTTCACTCCGTTTCCCAGAAGTTGATTTTGGCTAGAAGTGATCCTTCCCTCCCCATTAATATTCACATCAGTCATTCTCTTTCCTTTTCCTTCTTCCTCCTCTTCCTTCTCGGTCTCCTGAGGCTTAGGCCTCTGAGCAGTGCCCGTGGCAGCTGGCACTGTCCAGTTTTGTGGGGTTAAGGTAAAAGCGCCATGACAGCTGGTTTAGCCTTGGCCTAGTGCACAGACTCCATAATCAGAATCTGAAAGACTGGTTGCTGTTTGCACCACTGATTCACTGTTGGGGCCAGATCAAGGCTAGGTGAGCCTTTCTGTGAATCAGGAATAATTACTCCCATTGTGCATGTCTGTCTGTTCTAAGGATTCACCTCCTCTACGATGGTAATTATTGTGTGGTTACTATGAACATCACTTATGATCTTGGAAACGTTTTGAACCCCAAAGGAAAAGGTCCTGAGTTAATATGAGAGTGGTGAAATTTCAGAAGGCAGAAAAGTACGGCTCTCAGGATAACAGAGCAGAAAAAACAAATGTGAAAATGAGATGGGCTGGTCGTTTCCACATGTGTTCTAGCAGCAGAGTGCTGTCTTCAGATGAAACCTTTGGTGGACTCCCAGTCCTAAACCACACAAAGCAGAGCTGGCTGGAAAGCAGGGCGGGGCAGGGGTGTGTGAAGCTAGGCCAGTCTTCCTCCTCCTCACCTACTTCCCTTTCCTCCTGAAGTGGGATCCCACAGCAGCCACGGGGACCTCCACGTCTCCATGGGGCAGGATGAAAACCAGGAGTGAAAGAGGTGCAGAAAGAACCTGAATGTCCACAGCACAGTGAGAAGGGATGGGAGGCCAACCCAGAGTCCCCTAGGACCCAATGGCCAACATATTTGTATCTCAATGGTCCCATTCACTGCCATTGTCTTTCTAGTCTGTGCGTTTCTTAGCCTTGATTTTTCACACATATATATTTTGTCATAGTTAATAAAGTAATGCATCTCAAAATGTTTAAGGAGTCTGGATACACGCACATAGCTCTAAAAAGAGAGCAAAATGACATCTTACATCATGACAAGAGTATTCACAGGGCTTAGCTTGCCTTGCTATATGACCCAGCATTCTGAAAGGTGTCAGAGCATCTTATTGTTTTATATGTACATGCTGGCTTACAGCAATCCAGATGAAAACTAAGTACATGCTAAAATGTACTTCAAGAGTCTCAAGAAAAAGAAAATAGCTCTAAAAATAGAAGGCTATACTTTTCCCTGAATAATGAAAGGCATTCTAAACACCTCTTATAAGACATTGTAGGCTGGGTACAGTGACTCACGCCTATAATCCCGGCACTTTGGGAGGCCGAGGTAAGAGGACTGCATGAGCCCATGGGTTCAAGACCAGCCTGGGCAACTTGGTGAGACCTTGTCTCTACAATAAATTAAAAAATTAGCCACGCATTGTGGTGCATGCCTGTAGTTCCAGTTACTTGGAAGGCTGAAGTGGAAGGATCACCTGAGCCCCAGCAGGTCGAGGCTGCAGTGGCCATGAGTGTGTCACTGCACTCCAGTCTGGGCGACAGAGTGAGAGTCCAACTCAAAAAAAAAAAAGAAGAAGAAAAGGGACTAAGTAGACCATCCATGCTCAGTGTCTTTTCATTTTTATTTTTTTTGAGTTGGAATTTCACTCTGTCGGCCCAGGTAGGAGTGCAGTGGCATGCTCACGGCCACTGTAGCCTCGACCTGCTGGGCTCAGGTGATCCTTCAACTTCAGCCTTCCAAGTAGCTGGAATAATAGGAGTGTGTCATCACATCTGGCTAATTTTTTTATTTATTATAGAAACAAAGTCTTACCAAGTTGCCCAGGCTGGTCTCGAACCTGTGAGCTCAGACAATCCTCTTGCCTCCACCTCCCAAGTGCTGGGATTACAGGCATGAGCCACGGCGCCCAGCTAGTCCCTTGACTTTTTTTTTCTTTTTCTTTAGTTGGAGTCTCACTCTGTCACCCAGACTGGAGTGCAGTGGCCGGAGGCTCCCGGCCACCGCAGCCTCGACCTGCAGGGGTCCGGCGATCCTTTCGCCTCAGCCTTCCGAGTAGCTGGAACGATAGGCACGCGCTACCACGCCCGGCTAATTTTTTGATTTATTGTAGAGATGAGGTCTTGCCAAGTTGCCCAGGAGGGTCTCAAACCCGCAGGCTCAGGCAATCCACTCACCTCAGCCTCCCAAAGGCGCGGGATTACAGGCTGAGCCACCGAGCCCGGCTGTCCCTTGACTTCTAATGGTACATTTATTAGAAAGGAGACAATCATAAGAAGTAATTTTTTAAATGATATTTCTCTGAACATTTAAATTATAAAACAGTCTGATAAGTTAGAAAAATACTGCTTCGTGTAAATTTGACTAAGGGATATTAAATTGCCTAAATGCTCTTCAGAAAAATAAAACATATTCAAATTTCTAAAAATTTGAAAGACTCAGGAGAGGAAAAAAATCAGAAATATAAACATTTGCAGGATATAATTTTTATAATTCTAAAGGAATATTTATAGCTTGAAAAGGAAAGTCTGCTAAAATATATAAAAATTAGACAGGTAATTATTTTCCTAGCTCAAGAAAATACTTCTTGGAGAAGACACTAAAAATTAGCTCCTAGTAAAGACATACTCATTATGCTAGGGTTTCGAGAGACTCCCACCCCTTTTTATTTCTGAAAAAAGAAATACAGTTCCTCCAATATTTGAAGCATGACTTTAACGGCCTGAGATTCCAGGGTTGGGAGCTGCAAACTATAGCCCCTCAGGGCCAGCTCCATCACACCACCTGCTTTCCTCTGGTCAGAGTTAAAAAGAGTTTTTACAATTTAAAAATGTTTGGAAAAAATTCAAAAGAAGAATATTTCTTGACATGTGAAAACAATATAAAATTCAAATTTCAGCATAATAAATAAAAGCTTTTTGGAATGCAGCTATACCCATTCATTTACATTTTGCCCATGGTGGCCTTCCTGCCATGATGGCAGAGTCTGGTGGTTGTGACAGAGACCGGTCTGAAGAGCCTAAAATGTTTACACGATTTGACCTCTTACAGAAGAATTTGCCAAACTCTGACCTAAGAGATGGAACCCTACCTCTGACCATCCTGTGTATTCCTGGGGCACGTGGTAGGAAACGTACCTGGTTAAGCTGGCACAGGTATGTGTCAAGACACCAGAAACAGCAGTAGCAGCATTTGAACACGCACCTCGACAATGCACTGCGCTGCTGGACTCAGGATGCGACCAAAGGAACAGAGTCAAAAACAACACAGGAAACAGGGTGAGAAGCCAGTTTCAGAGGAAACGCTTTGTTTCTACTTTTGCACCTGGGGAAATAGGAGCAATCTTATGTGGTATGGGAGAAGTTCTTCTTTTTGTGCACGCAGCTATTACTAATTCTTATTCTTCTCATTACTGATGAGTTAAGTTCCTCTCTTGTGGGCTTACCTGTTACGGCTGCTGTTCACCTCAGCAGAAGGTGGCTAATCCATACAGAAGGGGAGAGGAAAGGAGGACTTCTGGTCCTAGTAGAAAGAACCTCTTTTCCTTCTTCATCTGCCCCACATGTCTTAAATGGGACACTTTGCTTTTTTCAAGCCAGAGTTTATATTCATGAAAAATTTACATCCCAAAGACAAAATAATAATAATATATTTTAGATACTAGTTATGTCCCCACATAAATAAAGAGTCAAGTTTAACTCTGGGGGAAATAAATCTTGAATAAGACTTTCAGGGTTAAAGTTCAAGGAGGAAATTTGTCCTTTGAAATATAACTTGAATTTGTGCATAACTCAAGAGGAATAACTTAGTGAATTGCTTGGGGGTGGGGTGATTGACTATATCCTACCCACTCTCCAGAGTGAAAAAAAAAACCCTGAAAACAATCCTGAAATAGCCTACTATGAGGATCCCAGGAATAACTTAGCCTTATATGGACATTTTCTTGTCCCAGTGTTAATTCAATTGGATGAAACTTGATATGGATCCTTTTCAGCCTGGTTGTGGTGGTGAATAGGCCTATTTAACCTAGGAAAGATCACACAGTGGCTGTGTGAAATGTTTAAACTGTAGACACAGCTCTGGACAGTAAGCCTGCTAAGGAAGACAATTTTTTTAACCTAAGAAAGGACACATTTTCCCAACAGTGACATCACTAAAAGGAAGTCTGGCCCTTGGTCCTTATAAGATCTAGGGAGTAATAAATAACCTTTTAGATCTCAGTCAGAGAGACCTTGGGTCTTCCACTGACTTCTCTTAGATTTTTGGAAGGCTGTTTTCCTGAAGAGTTTAAGATGCCGAACTGTAGAAGGGATAGCAAACTCCCTGCTGCTAATTTATGACTGCCTTACTAATGTACACATACACAATCACAAATACATTTAAAATGAAAAGCTGTTTTATTTTTGAAGAACTCCTTCTCCAAGTTTCCTAAGATTGAAGGATTGATTTCAAAATGCAGGAGCCAGAAGTAGCTAGATTTGCCCTGAATGTGGAAATGCCTCTTCAAGTCACCAAAATGTAGCCCGGCAAAATATTAACAGAAATTCAATATTTTATGCTCGGGGCAGCTGCTTAGCATGCATTTCAAGATAATGAAGCCAGATGATTTTATGTGACATGTAATTGTTCCTAACTGATATACTAACTGCAAGGACATGACACGGAGTCAATAAAATCAATGAGCAGTCATTTTAACATTGCTTAGCTTTGTCATATTTTTCTAGTAGTTCATTTTAATTTACCCGCTAATCCACTAGCCAAGGACAGAACAGGTTTCTCAGAGGTAGCTACTGATAATTGCTTTATAACCCCCTCCCCAGCTTGTTTTGTAAACAAGTTAACCTAATCAGAGCTTCAAGACCTTCCTGACCCAGACAGACCCCATCACCATGGCTGCAATCACGTGACTAACCCACCCATCTGCCTGCCGTCCATCACCTGATGTCAGTACCTGTGCATACCTGCCCTCCATGATAATGTGGAGCAGACCACCACCCAATCACCTTGATGACCTCCCCCCAGTCAAAGGGAAAGTTTAAAAGGATTCGACTTCCAGCAGCCAGTAGCCATTGCTCTGCTAAGCTATGGTCTGGCCATGTGCTCTTTTAGCTGTGGTCACCATGTTTTCTTAGCTTTAGCCCTGCCCTACCTTGCGGCGGGGTGAATCTTCTCTCTCTCCTCTCTCTAATTTATTTTCTGGCCATTGCTTTGCTAAACTCTGGTATGGCCATGTTTCTTGGCCTTGGCCTCCACTCCTGCCTTGGAGAGGCGAATCTCCTCGCTCTCTCGGTCTCTCCCTCTTGTTTTCGTTCTCTCCCTCCCTCCCTCCTTCTCCCTCTCTATTCACCATTGCTTTGCTAAGCTCTGGCCTGACCATGTGGCTCCTTGAGCTATGGTTGCCATGTTCCCTGGCTTTGGCCTTTCCCCTACCTTGGAGAGATGAGTTTTCTTTCTCTCTAATTTACTTTCTAAATAAACTATATTTTCTAATCTAACTGCTGTGCAATTCTTTGCGTTTTTCATGCGACACTGGATCGCACAACCCCACCCTGGTGGGCCTGAACTAACATTTCGGAGGCCCCACAGGGATATATTTTAACCTAACATTTTCGGAGGTCCCACCAAGATTTTTAACCTAACACTAACCTTAAATCTTGACTATAGATTTAAAATATCAACAATCTAGGTTCCTGTTTAAAAGAGCAAACAACCTCATCAACAAGGGTACCTGCATAATGAACATTTGTATACCTAACCCTGAACTGTACCCATAGCTTTAAAATAAAAAATTAAGAATGAAAGAAAACAAAAGAGCAAACAAAAATAGTTCTAAAATATAATATAAACCCATGTGTAAAATTTCTTCAATTTCCTAAGGACACACAACCACACCAAAAGGTTGGAATCAGGTAAGTTTGTGAAACTCTGACCAAGTCACCGCCCCTGAGGTGGTGACGAGAGAGAGAGATTAACATTGTGTGAGAACAGAAGAGCTGGCAAAGTCCTTGCTGGGCAGGCCAGAAATACCATGAGAACAGCTGTGTTCCTGGTGTTCTGGTTTCCACTGTCATTCATAACCAAATGCGCATGGAAATAAAAACCAGGGAGGAGAAAACCCCCAGGCACAAAAGCCCCATAGTCCTCTGTCCTTAGACAGAGATGGAGAGGTCAGCCTGATGGCTTCTCTCTCTCTCTCTCTCTCTTTCTTTCTCACTCACACACACATACACACACACACACTCTCACACACTCATTCAAACTCTCTCCTTTTCTTCCTCTCTTCCTACTCATACACCAGTAGCTTCCCAGGACAGCCTTGAAGAAACACAAAAGGCAGGGAATCTTTCAGCATTAAAACAGAAACAAATATTAAATTCTCTTCTAAAACAGCATAATAAACGTCTACAAAAACTTGTTTAAATTTCACCTAAAGATTTCACCCCACTCCAGTCTGGGCAAAAGAGTGACACTCTGATTTAAATAATAATAATAATAATAATAATAATAATAATAATAATAATAATTCAGCCCATTTTTCATTATTTAGATGAGAAGAAACCTAGCTAATTCAGGACTACCCCTCCCTCTCCACTCCACCTCCATCCCATTGGAGAAAGTCCAGAAAACAGGACTATAAACAAAACGGGGGGGGGCTGGAGGGGCGAGTGGGGGCTGGGATCTGAGGAACAGGGAGCCCTCTGAATGGCCAGTCACAGGTCACATTCCTGTCCTGGAACCCGCTGTACTTTTCCAGTAATTAACTCTTCTGCAACCCAAGCCCTGGCATACCCCGTATCGGAACGTTGCCTTACCTTCTCTTTCAGAGTGCTGGAAACATATGAGAGAATGACTCTTGGGACTCTCACCATGGTGATTAAAAATGACCCTTTCGCGACTGTTCCTTGATGGCAGCAGAAAAGTATGGAGAGAGATGAAAGGACTGGATGATCAGGAGGGCCATCTTTATTTCTGGGAATAGTGAAAAAGACAGCACTTTAAAAACTACTTAAAAGGCAACAAAAAAGTCTCTCTGGTTTAAATCACCCACGGTACTAACAACTCCTAAAGCAGTGATACAATCATCATTTGGCAACTTTTTCATACTCCTCAGTAGCTGAGGTTACCAGTTCCTGGACTGATTCAATTTCTTTTGGTGGCACTCCATACTACGGACAAATATAGGACAGAAAAACATTTTAAAAAATACGAATGAGTTCAAATAAACCAGTTTTCCTTCTTACGCTTGCCCCTTCCATCAATGTGGTCTCCTAGGCTTCAATGACACAGGAGCACACATAAATACTGCCAGTGTTAGCTTAGTAATTAAAATCATCACCAAGTCACATGACCAGGATCAGCGGCCAGAGGGAACCCAGAGTGCCCCTTGGAGGGCAGAGACAGAGGTCTGGTGCTTGGCTCCCAAAATCCTGCTGATTCCTACTCTGCTCTTTAAAGGTCACTTCAGCGTGAATCATTTACGGGACTTGTCATGACGCAGCTCCCAAGAATGTGTACAAGTCAGTTTCACAGGCAGGAAAAAAGAGTGAAAAAGAACAGAATGGGCACAGCCTCCACCCTACCCCAAACCTGAAAGATCAAGCAAAGGGGGAGGGCAGACGCAGCCGGGAGGGTGTGCAACCCCCTGATTTCCCACTCAAGCTGGTTCTGGGAAATGAGGCCTTTCTGAGAGGCAATTTTCCCGATTCCCAGTGAAGCCTGGTTTATTTGTAATGGATGACTCCACAACTTGCTCTGCTTGCTAATAACTCAATACAAATCAAGGTTTTGACAACAGCCGCATTTTGAGGGAGGAAGGAGTGAAGCCAGAATGTTTCAAGAGCTGGCAGTGGCCCCGTTTGCCATTACTGAAATCATCCAGAAGAACAAGAGAACATGAACGTAGTACTGGGGGCTGAAGACCCACAACCAAGCTGTCCCACAGCGAGGCTATATGGGTTTCAGCCCATGTCACTTAAAATAGGACAAACCAGGGAAGCGATTGCTGGGAGGAACACATTTTGATTTGATAAACTAGAAGAGTAATGTAGGCCAGGAAAATCTGACACATTTTTTTCCCTTTTCCTCTTTTTTCTAGAGAAGAATGTTTACTTTTCCACAGAGGAGATTTATGTGCCTTAGAACTTACTATGGTGCTCAAGAAGGGGTGGTGCAGAGGAGGACAACACCTGCTTTCCATCTAGCAGGGAAGCACATGATTCACAGCCACGGTGCACGGGGCCGCGGTTGGTTCCTCAGCATTGAAGTCTGGCGTGAGGCGCCAGCTTTCTGAGGAGGTTTTGCTGTGATGTGGTGTCTGTACCGCCTTGACTCCCCTGGTCCATAACACATCCTGGTTATGGCCTGAGGCTTGGCGGGAAAGAGAGGCAGACTGTCCAGACGCTGGGCAGTCACATGACGGGAGAGGGAACTAAAGAAGAAGGCGCTTTCAACATGAGCCAGCTCACCAAGCCAGAAGTCACCCAATACCTGCCCTTAGAACTACAAAGTCTCACAGAATAAAGGCTAAGGGGCGTGTCTCTGAGGCCTTCTCTCAGGCACTCTTCCATATTCAAAGGTAACAACACCCTTCCAACTCCCCTGCTATACATGCAGCTGGTGCCCTCAGCTCCATCTCCCTCATAACCAGCTAAACTTGCCCTCAGGAAGAGGATCTGATGACACTCAGAGAGGCCTAATGTAACACTTACCTCTGGACTTACCATATATACTTTTTTTGAGTTGGAGTCTCACTCTTGTTGCCCAGGCTGGAGTGCAGTGGCACACTCACGGCCACCGCAGCCTCAACTTGCTGGGCTCAGGTGAACCTTCCGCCTCAGTCTTCCAAGTAGCTGGAACCACAGGCACATGCCCAGATGAGGTCTCACCAAGTTGCCCGGCTGGTCTCAAACCCGGGGCTCAGGCAATCCTCTCACCTCAGCCTCCCAAAGTGCTGGGATTATGGGCTGAGCCATCACGCCCAGTCGATTTACCATATTTTAAGGCTTACCCTAAGGAATGGCATTGCAGCATTGGGTGTATTGGGTAGCTCAGTGATAAGTGTATTAGGAGGCTGGGGAGGACAGGGGACCTAGTCACTTGTCTGTCTCTAGGCAGTAGTCACTTTTCTTTCTTTGCTCTCCCTCCCTCCCTCCCTTCTTTCTTCTCTCTCTCTCTCCCTCTCCTTCTCCCTCCCTCTCTTTCTCCCCCTCCCTCTCTTGTGGGATCTCACTATGCTGCCCAGGCTGGTCTTGAACTCCTGGCCTCAAGCAATCCCCTAGCCCTGGCCTCTCAAATGTTGAGCCACCACACCTGACCAAAAGAACTGTGCCTTGAGCACCCTCCAACTAGGCCACATCTACCCCAATTTTGTGGGTGGTGGCAGTAAGGAAGACACGGGAAGTGTTAGAGGTAAGGTGACTCCAGGAAGTACCCCACGAAGTTCAGCTTCCCCCTTCTGTTAAACTTGTGGCTGCCTTGAGTGCCAAAGATGCCTGGCCCTCAGAACAATGAAGCCAGGTCCCCAGATCACTGCATCAATCCAGGTCATGGGGCAAAGGGCTTAATGGTCCATCCAACCAAAGCCTCTCGCATCTCTGAGTCATGGTGCAAAGTGCTGTTGTGCAACTACTAGTTCCATCAGACCACATGGCGCATATAGCCAGGTTTTAGCTCAGGTTAGAGCTGCCTTGTTTTGTACTGAGGCTCCTGAACAAAATGTGGCTGCACAGGATGGGTGGACTCCAACATAAAGCTGGTCCTGAAGGAAAACCATGTGATCGTTGCAAAGTCCATATCCCTTCCTGAGATTTCTTCAGCAAAATCACTGCAGGAAGAGCTGAGAAAGCTGTATGCTACTTTTTCCAATTTTACAGAAAATGGAAATTGTCTTCAGTAAAAAAACAGGCCGGTAAAAAAACACATTGATTTGCATTTATAATCCCAGCTCTTTGGGAGGCAGAGGCAAGAGGATCGCCTGAGCCCAGGGGTTCAAGGCCAGTCTGGGCAACTTGGCAAGACCTCATCTCCACAATAAATCAAAAAATTAGCTAGGTGTGGTGACACATGCCTGTAGTTCCAGCTACTTGAAAGGCTGAGGGGGAAAGAGTGCCTGAGTTCAGCAGGTCAAGGCTGTGGTGGCCGTGAACATGCCATTGCACTCCCATTCCAACTCAATGAACAAACAAACAACAGAATTCTTCAGTAGGCCTGAATGACTCTTGCTAGGATAGGGAATCTGTCTCTACCTTAGAAATTCCTTAGACTCTGCTATGAATTAATTTCCTCCTCTTCCTCAGCAGATTCAGAACGGCTGGAAACCAACTTTTGTATATTGAAAAATGATGACGGAGTCATGCCTCAAGTATCCCGTCTCCAAGTTGAGCAGTCCGAGCTCCTTCCTGTCACACCCCAAGTAGCATCTTTACGGTGCTCAGTTAATCCTCTTCAGGCAAATGGTTGTAAAAGGTAAATTTTACAGACTGCCGACACCCTGTACTTGATGGTCTTTGTATAAACTCTTCAGTCCTTCTGATGCTTAAATAATGACAAAAATAAATGCACCCTGGCTACATTTAGTCCTCATCCTGAGTGCAGGCCAGAACATGGCAAAAAGAATTACGAACTTTGAGATAAGGAAAAAACTTTGAGATAAGGAAAAAAGTTTCAAAATTAGACATTGTATCAAAAAGATGGCAGAGATCTTTCATACGTGAAAAAGTCAGGCTGAAAATAAATCACATATTGTATTTCAAATTAATTTATTTGAAAATCAAGGTAATATGCAAAGTATGTCCAAAAGTCAAATAGTACTGCTAGTCTTAATAGAGACAGCAGTTTCCTTCGCCACTCTAAATTATCTCTCTAGAGATAATATGTTAGTTGTTTATTCTGGAACTCACCTCCACACTTAAAAATGACGTGTTCTTACTGCTAGTTCTTGATTTTCCAGCATCAGATATTGTCTTCTGACTTCTCTACTATGGAAGACTTGGTTTTATTTTCTTACACAGCCTAACTCCCTCCCTCACTGGCTTTCCTATCCTCCCTTCTTCCTGATATAGTGAAACTACAGTTTTAAGCTAATGTTTAGTGTTTATGCTATTAGTACATAAATATGTGCTGAGTATATGAATAATGTTCACAACTGATTCAAGGGGCATATTCTAATTCTATTTCTTTTCCCACACAGCTTTTGTTTTTTTCTGAAGTTAATTGTTTCGCCTTTTTTTTTTTTGAGTTGGAGTCTCACTCTGTTGCCCAGACTGGAGTGCAGTGGCCTCTCCTGGCCACCGCAGCCTCGACCTGCTGGGCTCCGGTGATCCTTCCGCCTCAGCCTTCCAAGTAGCCGGAACTACAGGCATGCATGTGCCACCATGCCCAGCTAATTTTTTGATTTATTGTAGAGATGAAGTTGCCCAGGTGGGTCTTGAACCCGTGGGCTCAGGCAATTCACTCACCACGGCCTCCCAAAGGCGCGGGATTACAGGCTGAGCCACCGAGCCTGGCCCTGTTTCACCCTTTTTATTTGCCTGATTTCTGTGGGCATCACCGGATGCTTCACCAAAGTGAGAATCTTTTCTTAATGTGTTCAGGCACACCTGTATTCTCTCCGCTCCATTTTCTTTTCTCGGAGACCTCACACATGGACCCACTGTCCTCTTGTTCTGCCGGGGACAGGATATTTTCAATGCTGCATGGCTATCCTGGGAACTTCCTTCTCTTCTGTACTGGAGCCTGGGTTCTCTCAAGTTCCTGTTTTCCTCTCTGGTTTCCTCTTGAGTTTCTTGGGGAACATCCTTCCTAGAAAGCATGAGAGGAGGGGATTCCTCTGTGACTGGCATGTGTGAGCATGCCTTTATTCTTCTTTCTCCCTGACTGGTAGTAGGAATAGGTATAGAATTCCAGGCTCATCTTTCATTGGAATCTTCATTGCCTTGCTCCAGAGTTTCTCGTTTTCGAGACTTTGCCTGTGCTCCTGTTTTCCCTCGAGAAGCTTCCGGGATCTTCTCTTTACTCATGTCCTCCAGCCCTGGGGAATTTTCTTTTTTCTTATTTTCTATTTCTGGAATCCATATTAGTCAGATGTTGCGTCTCCCAAATTCATCCTCTGGTTCCTTATCCTTCCTATCCTGTTGTGCAATCTTTATCTTTCTGTTCTGTCTTCTGAGTTCTTCAACTTTATATTTTGAGCCTTCAGTAGAACATTTTCACTTTTGCAGTCATCATTTTTTAATTTTTTAATTTTTATTTTTTTGAGTTGGAGTCTCACTCTGTCACCCAGACGGGAGTGCAGTGGCCGCTCCCAGCCACCGCAGCCTCAACCTGCTGGGCTCTGGCGATCCTTCCGCCTCAGCCTTCCAAGTAGCGGGAACTACAGGCACGCGCTACCCTGTCCGGCTAATTTTTTGATTTATTGTAGAGATGTAGTCTTGTCAAGTTGCCCAGGCGGGTCTCAAACCCGCGGGCTCAGGCAATCCACTCACCTCAGCTTCCCAAAGCATGTGATCACAGGCTGAGCCACCGAGCCCGGCTTGCAGTCATTTTTAATTAGTCCTTCCTAATTGATCTCTCACTATGCCTTTTTATTTTGGGGGGATCTCAGCAATTTTTCCTTGTTCTGTTTGATGATATTATGGTTTGTTTTATAGTTTTCCTTTGTAGTCCACATTGCCTCTGTCTTTTCTAATTCCTTTTGTTGTTTTGTTCCTCTTGCTCTTGCTCTTCTTTCGAGGGTTTTTTTCCCCATGTTTACTAATCACTGGTGAACAGCTCAAATCTAAGAGTGAGGCTGTGGAGAGGGACACTGTCTGTTGCTGCTGAGCATCACAGTTTTGTCAGAAGTCAGGGAATCCACTTCCCTGGCGGGCCCATACGGCACTAACTGCAGACCTTCACGTGGATTAGACAGTTTATCCAGAGAAGACTCCTCTGCCCTCCTGCTAGGTGGTATCAACCTGGCTGCCAACTTTCTGGAGCTGTACTATGGGATGTGGGGTGTTGCATGTGTGAGGGGTGTCCAGGCTTTCACTTATGCCCCTGCTTTCTGCACGGAGCCTCACCCAGCCTCAGCTGTGCCAGATGCCCCAAGTCCAGACCCTTTCTGGTTTCTCTCTTCAGAGAACCAAGTGCCTCATCCTCAGTGGGTGTGGAGGAGGGGTCTGGGGTCCACCTGTTCCTTAGGAAGATGTCCGGCTTGCCTTCGGAAAGATCTCATACTTGGATTCAGGAACCTCTGGGGGTTCTGCAGCTCCATGCAGCCTGCTTCATGGTTGCACCCCCTCGCCTGCCAACACGCACAGGGGGCTTCCTCAGCTCTCCCCGGGTGCTCAGGTCATTGCCCATCTGCCCTCTCCTCAGCTCTTGCCTTTGGTTGACACTGTCATTGCCTCTCTGTTTTTTACTGTCCTTGTGTGTTCGTGCCTTTTCCATTCTTTCATGATTCGGGGTAGGGGTGGAGGGAGAGGAGAGATTGGGAGATAAATGCATGGGCTTCACTGGAAGTCCATATCACAAGTGCTTGTCGAAAATGCTTTGTCTTTGTTAGAAATACCACAGAATCTCTCTGTCAGACCAGGGCTACCTGCTGGCCTCTCTGGCTAGACTATTCCGTGCTTCCCTACACAGGAGGCGCAACACGCCCCGCCCACCTCCGGCTACCTGGAGGCCCTCAGTGCCAAGGGCAACAGCCCCTGTGAGCCCTGTAGTCTCTCATGACAGGTTGCAAGCATCACCACGACATTAAAACCCACAGTGCTCCTTAGAGTCAGGAGGTAACTGCTCAGGGGCATGAGTCACCCCGGTGGGCGGTCTTACCCCACCAAAGCGCACATTTGTCTGTCATTTGGTCTGAGATTAGAGGAGGACCAGCCCTACTGAGAGTGAACTTCCTGCTCTAAGTCCAACCTTGTCATTGTCCAGGCTGTGCTCCTCTGCCCTGCAGTCTTCTCATGGCCCCATGGAGAGTCACATCTGTAAAGGAGGTGAGAGGTTTGAGGTGGATATGACCTCAATTATTTTCATGAGGCAATGGATACAAACATGGAAGCAAGTGATTAATTCACAGGTACTTAACTATATGGATCGAAATTATATTTTATAGTTACATACAATTCCTTTAGGATTCAAATTTTTTTCCAAGCAAACATTCTTCTGATTTTATATGGGACAAAGTGAGGCTCACAGAATTTACTCAAGTTTATTCAAAATAGACCAGGTCAGGCTCAGTGGCTCAGCCTGTAATCCCAGCACCTTGGGAGACTGAGATGAGTGGATTGCCTGAGCCTGAGGGTTCGAGACCAGCCTGGGCAACCTGGCCAGACCTCGTCTCTACAATAAATCAAAAATTAGCCGGGTGTGGTAGCACGTACCTGTAGTTCCTGCTACTTGGAAGGCTGAGGTGATAGGATCGCCGGAGCCCAGCAAATTGCTGCTGGGTGGCTGTGAGCGTGCCACTGCACTCCAGCCTGGGTGACAGTGTGAGACTCCAACTCAGAAAAACAAAATAGACCAGTAATTTTTTCAGTCTGAAGCCAATAAGAGTGGATATTTACAAAGAAATTCAACCCTTCATCTTAATCTTTCAATTCTAAGCAATATAATCACTTCCTTGTTTGGCTTCTTTCTAAATTTTCTAGCAAAAAGCAAAAGAGCTCAGAAATGTGACAGATTTAAGATGTCACATTTCCTCTCACTACCAAATGAGCATTCAGCTCATTTTTAGCTTAGTCTTTTATGCTTGCCAACTCCTTTTAAAGGGTCAGGTCAAACTCCCAAATATCTTTTGAGATTCACAACATGAAGCACACAGACAAACCACACAGACAAATCAACAGGAGAAAAACACTGGACCTACCTGTTGAAATAACAAGTAACCACTGCCCCAGCTATGGTCATTTGCTGACATGCAAGGATGAATTCACTAGTCCATATGAGGCCAATTAAATGGTACCACCACATATACCGAATGCCTGAAAGAGGTTTGTATTCCACTTGGCCACCTTCCATCACTTGGGCAGTCCCTGAAGTTTAAAACATAAACAGCCATCACACTAATGTTCTCTAAGCACGGGTGATGGTTCAACAGGCTACGCTTCTTTATGCTGGGCCTCAGCATCGTGTGAAACAGGTGCCAAAGTCTGAAGCACCCACCATAATTTTAAAACCTTCATAGCAAAAAATAAAAATCGAGAACACACAGTTAATTTCTAAATGATATCAACAATGATAATCACAGTGTCGACTGCAGGCAATTTCCAACACACTTGGTATATACTGTAATACTCATCCCACTTGGGAATGAAACAGGTGTTTGGAAGAGTCAAGCAATTTTTGTAAAGTCTCACTGCTCATAAATAGTGGAAGGAAATTATAAGCCCAAACACATTGAACTCTAAAATTCATAGTTTTTCTACCACAAGACTTTGTGATACAAACCAAACTTGTTACATGGATGAAGCTACACAAAGCTATTAGGACCATGTTACAGCACCTACTTCGTCAGAAATTTAGACTTTATAAAAGAGACAAAGGTCTTTGTTTTCTCAAAGGGATACAGTTCAGATTTCATTCTAAGACAGAAAAATCTCTTCTAGCACAATTCAAAATATCTTCTGGGTCTCTGTGTTAACCTCCCAAGGTTCAAATGCCAGCTTTGCCCCTCCATGGGTGGCCTGGGACAAGTTATTTGGCATCTTGAAGTTTTGGAATCTTTATCTGGAGTGCCTGTTTCCTGGTGGTAATTTGAGCATGGAGAAAGATTACCTGGAGAGTGCTTGGTATAGCACCTGGTCCCAGAAATATCACCCCATAAGTGAGAGTTATTCCTATTCTTAAATTTCAGGACTATAGTACTACACTCAGCCGAGGCCAGTGAGGCAGCCCTAATGGTTCTGATGCTCACGTGGCTATGCCCTGCTTTCTTCTCCTGCCTCTAAGGAAGCCTTGAACTAGTTCAACAGACATCACGAGTCCAAATCCCAGCTCTGTAGCTCATTTGATTTCCAGATGTCTTCCCACCATGGATTTTAAATCAACTACAGAAGAAGATGGCACTTTGGGGTTTGGTGAAACCTAAAACTTGAATAGCATTTAAAGATAGTCTCTTAGTTCTTGTGATAGCTATAAACTGACTTTAGGTTCGTGGTTCCTGTGTCTTTAGACACTCACGATAGGGTCTGTGCAAGGGAAAGAAGAGAACCATGGTAGAGAGCAAAACTGACTGCACAGACCGAGGCAGGTCTCGATTCCTCCCGCTTGAGGTTCTGCTGAACACAAGTGCTAGAAATAGTTAGCAGCAGAAGTATAAGGAATAGCAAAGTAGCTTGCTTTACAGAGCCCGGCATTTTATTAAGGCCGGGCTCATGTAGGCTTGGAGGTCATCCTTTTTCAGTGAAGGCATGGATATCTGCCTCTGCTTTTCCAAAATGAGCGTTTCAGAAAACATTCCCCATTCCAAAGGTGGCCTCTCCCAACTGGAATGCACATTTGGGTAGATATGGTTGGTGGACCTTGAGAACCGTTCTCCGGAACATCAGAACTGCTCTGGGCTGGAGAACAGGGACAACGCTCCTCCTACAAAGCCCACATGTATCAGGGACAGGCGACGGTTTTGCAGAAAAGGTTCACAGCACCATAGATGGTTTGGGTGGAGAATGTTTCCACAGAACACAGGAGGAATGATTTCTTTGATGAAGGTCAGTGCATAGTCCCTGAATATGAAGGGGAACAGTCTCTCCTCCTGGCCACCTTGAGCTGTCAAGGACACATCCACACACCTCCCAGGTCAGCACACTGGTGGTAGCTGTCAGCAAGTAAAGCAGCTAAAGTGGTAAGTCAAGATCGCTTAGACCCTAAAGCCTTTAGCATTCCCCAAGGAAGCAGAACCTGAGAGGTATCCTTGACTAGTCACTGTCATTTCTGAACATCCTTATCGGAGCTATCTTCTGTGTGCTCCTGGGCTTCAGGTCTGCCAGCTGTGTGTAGACTTTCCTTTAGGGCAGGGTTACTTGCCCTCTCGAGTACCAGCTGACATTTTGGACCAGGTATCTCTTTGTTGGGTGGGGGTGGGGGGATCATGGTCCTGTGCGTTGCAGGATGTTGAGCAGCACGGCTCATCTCGCCATGCTGGCTGTCAGGAGGATCCTCCCCACAGCAAGTCATGACAACCCAAAATGTCTTTCATGCCACCTGGGGGGCTGCTTGAGAACCACTGTTTGAAGCAAACCTTCTCAGAGTCAGGCACTCTGGCTCCAGAGCGAAAGCCTGGAAACAGAAGTTGGACACAACTGAGACTGTGGTTACAGAGCTGTGGGCAGGGCAGCAGCACTGCCAAGCACATGACTGCCCTCTCCTGGACGGCTGTGTCAGCATGGGCAAGATGCCCTCGTCACATGACAGCAGCTCTGTTGCACTACCGCTCCTACCTTGGGTAGTAGCTAACAGTGCTAACAGGAACTATGAACAGAGCCAAGATGGATGCATCTCAGGGATGATGGTGAACTGGGAGGAGACATGGTTCCAGGGTCAGCTCTGGCAGGCGTGACAAGCAACCTGGGTCACTGTTTCCTCTAGGTCAAGATGGAGAGAGCAAACGTGACACGTGGGAGAGTGACTACAGGCCTGGACCGGAAGGTCACAGACTGAGAGTCACATCTCTGCAGTGGCCCCTCGTGGCTGACCAATGGATTTTTAACAGTCTGTTTTATCACCTGTAATCGGAGGATAGTAATACTTCTCATACTCGTGATCTCATCCTGTGCCATCACATGTAGCTGTGATGAGTCAATCTAAATACATGGGTAAGGCTCTTAGGATATTAAGTGCAACGTAAGCTTGCTAAAGTGAGTGCCATACAGGATTAGCTATGAATGAGAATGGGTAAACATTATTTCAATTCTGAAATTAAATATTCACTGAGCACCTACTGCATGCTGGCATCAAGCTAGATATAAGTTATTAAAGAGAAAAATAAAAGAGGCAAAAGAAAAAAAAAAATCCAAAGGAGATACCCAGGTGACTATTGGGAGTTCACACCTTCCCTTATTATTCTCTGCATTTTCTCTTCTCTCAGGCAACTGATTATACAATTTCTCCTTTAGCCTCCCTGAGTTTCTTTCCCACCCTTGTCTCAGTCACTGACCCTACTTCCTATTTCTTAAGATCTGAAATCATCAGAAAACCTTTGCTAGCGCCTAACCCCACCCCACCTGCCTGCAACCAACATGTGCCTGTAATCTGAGCCCCCTTCCTAACACGGTAAGCTGTCTGTGATCTGGGGCCCACACACCACCAGATCCCACCCTTTGTCATTTACCTGAAGACAGCTCTTCAGCAATCCACCTCCCCCCATCCCGTCAGAATGCCACTCTCTGCTAACTGCTCCTTAACCATCTCCCATCTTCAACCATACTCGCCTTGGGACTCGCTCTGCCAGCCTCTTTCCATCTCTCTGCTTTCTGCCTATGAAAGCAATTCCTCAAGACTGAACACACTTTCTTTCCGGCTCTTCTCTTCTCACTTTCTCTTAACCTGCTCCAGTCCCTTCTTTGCCTCACACCAAGGCTGCTGAACCCCAGGTCAGTCCCCAGCTCTGCCCTGAGATACCACAGCATTGGCCACCTTGGGCCATTCTCACCTCCAGGAAACCCTCCACCTGCACTCTTGCGTTCCACACTCTCCTGCCCGATGGCCACTCCCTTTCAGTCTTCTTCGCTGGTTTCCCCTTATCTCAGGACATCTTGATGTTGGAGTGTCTCAAGGCACAGTTCTTGAACTTTTTCTCTACCTATATTCATTCTAATCTCATGGTTCCAACTACTATTAATGTACTCCCAAATTCCCAAATGTAAATCTCTAGCTGGGACCTCCCCTCAGCTGCTGACTCTGACAGCTAACTGCCAACTCCACATCTCCACCTGGCTGTCTAAGACATGGCAGTTAGAATGCACAAACGTCCCTTTCCGCTCTGCCCTGAACACGCCACCCAAGTTCCTGCCCCATCTCAGCTTATGGCATCTCATCCTCCAGCTGCTCAGGCAAAGCCCTCACTCATCCTCAGCCCCTCTCTCTTTTGGATCCCCAGATAATCCTGCCAGCTCTAACTTCAAGGCAGACACAAACCCAGCGGGCGATGCTGCTTCCACCATCGTGACCCATTCCGAGCCACCACCCTCTTCTCCCTGATCACTGCTATTAAAATGTAAGTCAGGTAAAGTTTCTATTCTGCTTAAAACCCTGTGAAGACTTCCCATCTCAGATTAGAGGCCAAAAGCCAGCAAGGCTCCACGATCTGACCTGGGTCCTCTCTGAGTGGCCCCCCTCAAATCAGGCTCTCCCTCACCCATTCCACTGTGTCTCAGTGGCCTCCTTGCTGCGTCACAGAAGCCCGGGCTCTTGTCAATCTTCTGCCCAGACGTGCGCCCTGGTGTGGGCGGCCTGGCACCCCTGCACTCACTGCCTCCCGTCTGCTCAGCTTCACCTTCTCAACCAGGCCCCCCTCACCACCTAGAGTTGCATCCCACCCGTATGAACTTCCTACTCCTCTTTTCTGCTTTATTTTTCTCCAGTCTATCCATCAACTGTTGAAGTACTATAAAATTCACTTATTTATTTTATTTAATGCCTGTCTCCCTCCACCTTCCAAAGTGGAAGAAAAGTTGTATCTCCAGCATCTTTAACGGGGCCTGACACAGTAAATGTCAGCAAATATTTGTTGAGTGAATGCATGAATGTTTCCTCCTCGGGGAGTATATTCTCTTAAAGAGATCTGGAGACAGCCGGGCTCGGTGGCTCAGCCTGGAATCCCGCGCCTTTGGGAGGCTGAGGTGAGTGGATTGCCTGAGCCTGCGGGGTCGAGACC